TTTACGATTTGGCCAAAACAAACTTGCATTGTCATTCAACCATATATAAGTCCATTCTTATATCGTTAAAAGTATACTATTTAAGTCTTAACAATCATATATTTTTTTCTAATTTATTATTTTACTCATGTTGATGATTTCTGTAGTGTTACTGTGACTTATTATTTTAGATATTATTGACATACTTAAATTACGAGATTTGATTAACATCGCTTTCGAAAAGGTTTCGATTAACATCATCTCTATTTTAGTTTTCTCTAACAATAATAATGAACTTACTCGGCGTGTGAGCCAAAAGAGCCAGCTCAACTAAACTAGACTCTGTTTTTAGCTCATTGGCATTTAACAAACTGACTTGGCTCGTTATCTAAATGAGCCACAAAGGAAGCGAAGTTGGTGAGGACATCACTCCTTCGGATATACCCGCTTGATTCTTCAACCATTATGCAAGGTCCAATGACCTAAGCTTTCGAATGCGCCTAACTAAATTTAGAGATAAGCTCGTTCTTAAGCGATCTTTTTTCGTACTTTTGAGAATAGATTACTATCTAATGATGTTATCTTTCTTAGAAATATTGGAGAGGGTCATGAAGAACTTGGAGGGAGTTGTGGAGGCGCCAGAAGACCAGCAAGGACGTCCAAGTCCAACATTAAGCGGAAGGCTGGTCCAACTCGACTTCTAGTGTCTGTCTCGGCCTTCGTGACCATCTACATTAAAATGGACAAACAGGACGCATCCAAACTTTATTTTTAAGCGATCCACTTATGGATGGAAAGATAATTTCATAAGCTAACTAATGGCTTTGGTTTGAGCCCCAAATTTCACCGGAGTCAAGAATCGTCGAAACAAGTTAGCGTTCAGAATCTATCAGGTGCTGCGCCACCGCTTTTGGTCCGTTGGTCCGTGTATCGTCTTTGAGCGCGTTAGGGGGGGTGGGTCCAGAGGGCGACGACCCTTAAACCTTTTATAATCGGTCTCCGCCGCTATTGTTATGTTTTGGGTTTTGCTTAGAACAATCTGTCCTTGACAGTCGCTGACTTTTGGTTTGTGAAACCGCAACTCGTATGCTTAATCATACATCTGCAGTTTGTCCCAAATCTTTGAGCTGCGTACTTTTGAGTTTTTGCTTTTGTTCTTCGTTTCACAGGTAGTGATTAGCCTTCTTGGCGAGGTCAACCAGTTTGGTGACACGGTTGATAACTGCGTGAGGAGTCGTGGTGCTAAGATTGCGGTGGTTGGGTCTTTGGATCCGAAGCCGGATCGGTGTGTCGTGCTCCAACAAAATGATAGTTATCATCACCGACGGAAGATCGGGATCCTCGTTCCCATCAGAAGTCACCCCCTACTGCAGTGGCTGAAACCCAGGTTTAATCTAACACTCTATATGAGTCACATTAATAGGTTAAGTATTTCTTTCAGTAACAGACAACATGCATATTGATAGTCATTATAATGATCTTAACATCCTCAAGATTTCACATGGCCTACCTTATTAGATGCGCTCGATCTTCTGTACCGTGTGTTAATTTCTCAAAGAAGAAGAAAAAGATTTACCTGACTTGTCCCCACATACCGCGTTTGGGATTTGTTTCAAAGTTCAAATAGTTATTCACATCATGATATGATTAGTCAATTGAACATCATCTAATCTGAACTTTCATATCTATACTGCACCCGAAGTAATTGCATATGCCCTATAATCTGCATTCGCCACTAGAGTCAACTGCACCTGCACGCAATGCTTATTTCTTTATTTGTTTAACGCAGTGACGTTTCAAGCAAATTGCTAGTGAGGTAGATTTCTAAATCCTAATTGTTAGATGACCTTCACCTTGCACATCTAATTTAGGAGGTCTTTTACAGTCCTTGGAGATGTATCAAAATGTAAAAAATATTACAACCTGGGATTTAGCCTATTACCTATGTACAAAATTAAATGGGTACCTCACAAGTTATAAATAGAGGTAGCTCTCAAAGGATGGAAAATTAGCCTTACTTAAGTGGATTTGTAGGAAAATAATTATTCTTTAGCGACGCCTGATAAGATTGACAATCTCAAAGACTATGCATTATTACTGCTGGTCCCAGAAGAAGGTTCTTCTTGACTGCATTAATATTTTCATAGACACTAGAGTTGGTTAACTACCTTCATATATAAAACATTTTGGAAACACTGAGCTAACTTACTCCACTAATAACCAGCTAGCATATGTTACTTGCAAGTAAACCTGTCACTCAGCCCTGAAAGAGTGAAAGTGGCGCGTACTTATTTTTAATGATATATGTGAAAGGAACCCTATAATGACAGTATGTAGACAGTTTAACTACACTTACATCAACCCATGCTGGTGGCCCTGACTGCAAATATAAGCCTAGTTAAGTTGCAATTTTTTCTTGGCATATATAGTCAACTGGCGTTGGCACAATCAGTAGTGCAGGTTTAATCTGCTGACATCTTCCAAGCAAATCGTCTTCAAGTATATTGTAGCCTGAAAACCCATCCATTCCCAGGATTGGCCAAGACCTTGTCAACTGATTGAGTGCAGCTTGACAAAATCTTTCAACTGCAGTGCTTATGAGCTCATCAGATCAGATGTCACCATATTTGTTACAGTATCTAGAAGCTTGACATGATCGATCATTCAATCAGGTCAACAGTTCTTGTAATCTGACTTATGATCTGAACCCAGTCTGATTGAAGAAAGCCAATCTATCAGAGAGAACCTTGACCTCATCAGCTCATTAAAAAAAATCAATGAAACAAACGGCGGTGGCACAAAGATGGTATTACGACTAGTTCAACGATGACATGATATCAACCATAAGTTTGACAATAACGTAGCAAATGATAATAAAGATGAAGTCATTGTACTAATTTGGACTCATATGGTCACTTTTTTTTTAAACTAACTCATATGGTCACTTGCTAGCTAGCTTTAGTAAGCACTTAATAACCTTTACAACTAGATATGACCCAAGAGAAATCCTAGACATATATGAACACGATAATAAAAATATGGAGCATATGGGCTTGAGAGGCTCATGTACATGCACAACATTTGCTTATAGAGAACTAAGTTATGCTTTTAAATGGGGTTGGACGCTTGGACCAATTGGATATACAAGCTTGTTGCTTAATTAGTTCGGTATTTTATAATGTATGAAACGTGAATAATACCAGTTAACCCAGCAAACCAATTCTAGAAAATGAAAGAATTAATATTTATTAACCAGATAAACAAAAATTAGTGGAAAACAGTTTAGTTTTGAATTTGTTATCTTTAGGTTTATATGTTTTCCACCCCTAGCTTTTTTTAGGAAAAAAAAAACTAGGGGTGTATGGCCATGTTCTTGTTGGTTAATGGTTAGTTAGGCCCAAGCAAAGCGGGCCGGCCCATCTTGGTTAGTATATGTCACGGACTCATGTATGAAATGTTGGTTTGCCACACGAGTCCAGAGTCCAGCAAAGCGGGGCGGCCCATCTTGGTTAGTTAGGCCCTTAGTGGAAATAAACTATAGAAACCAACAAGCACTCGTGAATCCTAGCTGCCGTCCCGATCCTGCTCGTTCATGGATTTTCGGGTGAAATTCGTTGTTCCCATTATACTTGCTGAGTGTTTTTACTCATAACTGTGTTTATTTTGTTTTTAGGTACTAAATCACCACGACATGCTTGGAAACTGGGAGTAGCACCTTCATCGCAAGCACTTACCTTTTAGTTTACACACGCTTAATCATGTGCATAACGGTTGCAACTCTAACAATTAAATAGAGGTTGCTAAATGGTTGTTTTTTTGTTGAGACGATCTTGCTATTAGGATTATTCTTTTATTCTATCATTGGATTGGGCTGTGATATGTATGTCTTTACTTATGAGAATATTTCATGTATGTTATACGTTTTTGCCTGTTAAAATGCCAGATTATTGGGGAAACTCTGCTAAATTTTTTAATAATTCTCTAAAGTTAGTAGGTTTTATGTGCTGTTTGGTAACCTCCGGTGGTGTTTCTAGCCGAGGTGTTACATTTGGTATTATCGGGTCACGTATCATTAATTCATTGTTTTTGAAATGTTCAAAAAAATCATTGTTTTTTGAAGTTTAAAAAAACATTATTTTTGAAAGGAAAATACGCCAAATAAAGTAGGGTTGTATAGCTATGTGCAAAACAATTACTCACTCTATTCTAAATTTTAAACTATATATACTTCACTTTAATTTTATTCTAAGTTAAACATCGATTAAGGCATTTGAAAATATTAATATTTACAAGGTCCAATAAAATGCACTATTAATAAATATTTTTGACAAATTTAATGGCTCTAATTTGATGTTATAGATATGGGTGCATTTACTATAAAACTTGTTAAAAAAAATAGAGAAGTTTGATTTAGGAAAACATATGTGTTGTACATAGAGTTTACACATAACAGCTAAGATTTATTATCCTTTGGAAATAAGTTGGATCCAAATCTTATCTAAACATTAGTATAAAACTAACAAACATGTCCATATATTGCAACAAAGTGTAGAGTTTATTGAGTGGTCACTCTGACCACTTATGCTCAGTAGATTTATATAATGATCATGTCATTTGTTCTAATATGTTTTAGTATTGGACTCTGTTGAACACGGTCTCATGTTAGATTTGGATTGTTCTAGCTTTAGATTAAAAAACAGGGTTTTATGTTGAATTTGGAATAAAAATATGTGGACATTCGAAATGTAGATTTGAATTGTGCTAGGTTTAGATTAGAAACATGGTTTCATGTTAAGTTTGGATCGAGAACGTGTGGACGATAAGAGTGAGGCGTCAAAGCAAGCCAGAGAAGAGCAGAGTTCACCAGAAGAGATACAGAGCTCGACAGGTTTGCACCCAAGAATTTGTTGACAGATAAATGGCTCTTTAAAGTTTACGTCAGTTGCAACTGCAAGCACACATGTAAACAAAGGACACTCACTCTCCTAGGAGAGTGAGTTCCAGGAGTTCCTAGCTGATCACTACAACACGTACGGCAGCAACGCTTTGATCCTCGCCGGGAACTGCTGGAACTTGGACTGGTACCACCTCCTGGTGGCGCAGCTCCGGCCGTCGAGGTAGGCCGCGGTTCCGGTGGCGACGGCGAGCGCGTACAGCGTCTGCGCGATCATGGCGAGCCCGAAGAAGTCGAGGATCTCGAAGAGGTAGTGTGGGCAGGTGACGAGCCCGAACAGGCCGCCCCTGGGGATCTTGTACCCCCTGTCGTCGCCGCCTCCGCCGCCGCCGGCGTCTGCTCTCAGCCTCGAGAGGAGGTAGTGGTGGTAGAAGTTGCCGGCGAGGCCGACGGCGAAGACGACCACGCCCGGGTAGAGCAGGTCCACGGCGGGGTCCGGCAGGTCGTGGCTGAGGTGGTGCTCGCAGATCATGGTGGCCGTGCTCAGCAGGTAGCTGGACGCGATGGTGGCCGCCGTGTCCAGCGGCATGCTCCCGCTGTACCGGTGCATGAACAGCACCTGGGAGGGATGAAGAGAACACGACGGATGTTCAGCGGCTCTGCTCCGATCCTCATCAGAAGAAGGAGGAGGAGGAGAAGAGATGAAATCCAGGCAGGGGTACCTCGAGAACCCGCTTGAGGAAGTGAGCGGCGAGCGCGGCGCTGAGGAGTTCGGCGCGCGCGCCTTCGACGGCGCCCGGCACGGCGAAGGACGCGGCGGCGGCGAGGAGCGCAGGGGCGTAGGCCAGCAGCATCCCGTGCCGCCGGCGGCGCCCCGCTGCTTGGTGGTCCCGCCGGCACCCGCCGCCGCAACGACGTGCCAGAACTTGGAGTAGGCCATGTGGTCGCCGCCGAGCTCGGCGAGGCCCGCGTTCGCCATGGACACCAGCGACACCGCCGACATCGCCGCCACGTACACCGACGCCGGCGGCGGGTACAGGAACGGGAGCCACGACGTCGACATCCCCTCCGGGCGGGCTCCGGCGTGTGTGGTCACCCACCCTACTCTCGATCGATTGCTGCGCGCGCGGGAGAAGAGCGCGCGGCGGTGGTCTGCTGCGGCGCGAAGTGCGTGATGCGTGGTGGACTGGTGGACGTAAGCTCTCGGGGCCTTAGCTGGCTCTCGCAGATGGTGGGTACGTTCAGCGCCTCTACGTGTCGGTGCAGTAGCCGGCCGTTGGTGCTACTACCTGGTAGGAGACGAGCGAGGCCACAAACGTCCGCGAGGTGGCGCTAGCTGCGCGCACAGGGCGAGACCAAGCCACGTCGCGTACAATAATTATAATTAGTCTATCATAAAAAATTCACCACAACTATATCGTACAAACTGTAGCTATAAATTAATTACAGAAAAATATAAATCTAAAGCTACAGTAAAAAAATTATACTAAATCATAACATATTATATGTTCACTGTGTAGACCTACTCATGTGGAGTATAAAAAAAATTTGATTTTCTATTTTATGATTTTTCTATAATTTACTATGATTTTTTAAAAATTCAGCTAAAATAAATAAAAAAGAAAAAGACAAAACCGCATTTGCAAACCGCTTATAATCTATCAGGAGGTAAAACGAATGGTTTTAAAAGTTCATAGAGATGGTTTGTCCGGTTTTAGAGTTTAAGGAGGGAAAACAGACTTTTAGATAACGTAGATTTTTTCCATTTTGTTTTCATCCGAGCAAAAGCTCTTGTCTTCGGCCCGTCGTCCTCCGTTTCCTGGGCTCAGTAGGTTACTCCTCAGCAGTCAGCACACCCCACCCGTGTTCCTCCTCACCTGTATATGGGCCGGTCCAGTAATCAGTCCAGCGGCGAGCCCAGCGATCTGCCCTCCTCCTTTGTCGTTCCCTCAAAAAAAAAAAACTCCTTTCCTTTGTTTCGCTGATGAGATGGCCCCATGGGTCAGCGCGTGCGCGCGTGCTTCCCTGTCAGACTGGAGACTACAAAGCCGGGCCCGTTGCTAGCGCCGCCGCCGTCACCACCGTTTCCCCAGCTGTGGAATGGATTCGACCGGCTGCTCTGAATCCGGTGAACGCCTTTGGATCTCTCCAGGAGCATTACAAGCTGGCCGAGTATGGAAGTCGCCGACAAGCCAAACGAGGAGCTGGGAAAAACGAGAGAGACAGGTTCATTATTTATTTATTTTGATTTGAGTTTGATAACTACTATCATCTACGGAGTACTTACCTAGCTGCACAGGCAGAGGGGCGTGTCTTCCCCCATATGATGATTGAGGAGAATACCCACTGCAGAAATTAGATGAGTATGACAGTACTGAATAATGGCTATTAACTACTAATATATAGTCATTATCACGGAACGATGCAATCACTAAAACAAAATTAGCAGTGCTGATTCGGAATTAATGACGATGCTATATATGCTAAACTCTACAGAAGAGCAGTCCAGAACGAAAACGCTTCACTGCTGAAGAAGCTACAAATTGCTTACATTTACTTTACCTTTATTGCAGTTTCAATTGAAAAACCCTGCGAGCCCCTGGCCCTCGCCCCCCCCTGGGGCCCCCACCTGCCCCCCCTCCACCCCCTGGGCCCACACGTCATTCCACCCTGTCCGGAAGCGTGCTCTTGGTCGGGAGAGATGAGGGGTTGAGATGAGGATGAATAGATATTTCTAAAATTAATCGTATCGGTTAATCGAAATAATTGTGGAATTAAAAGTATCGGTTTAACCAAGACTACACCTCAGTCCAATATTAGTAACTTTGTCCAAACTACTACACTACAGTTTTAGAAAATTAAGTGCGCATGTTTAAAAGGTAGGGTGAATACTCGCGAAGATGATTATGCGCTAGAAAAAGAAGTTGTTTGGCATGCGTAAACATTTCCTTTGCTTATACAGTGAATTCACCCGGCTTACACGCATTGCCAAGCTTTCCGTTCCCAGCGGCGTGGGTTGTGACGAGTGCATCTTGTTTGATAGATCTTACATGTCACTTGAGATTATCTGAAAACGCACGAGGTACCGTATTGATGTCAATACCACTTTCTTAAAAAGCCTTTGCCTTGCAGCAACCGTGCGTAGTTAATGATAAAAAGAAACCAATAGTTTTATAAAATTGATACCGCATATAAAATTAGCGCTCCATCTATGTAATTAGTTTTGAATAATAATTATTTCTCTTTCTCTCTCAACTCTATCTTATTCCTCCAACTCTAAACCACGAGCTCCATACATAATGGTTTTTCCACAATGACGATTTCATGGTTTCTTGGTGTAAAACAGAACGATTTCTTCATGATGAAACTATTTCTATGATTTTGCTGCTCTCTTTCTTTCATTAGGTAGTCAACGCTTTGAATATTAAGTCATTTAATAAGGATAGAAAGGGTCGTCAATATTGGCGAAGATGAAATATTTGGGGAAATTTGAAGAACAAGAAGTTCTCTGGCATGCGTAAACATTTAAAAATTTATATGCTTATACAGTGATTCGGTATGGCTTACACGCATTGCCAAGCTTTCTGGATCCGCCAGCGGCGTAGTTAAGGTAATCCTAGCGTAGGAAAAGACAAGGACTGCGCGGATCATGCATGCATGCTGCGTGCACGGACCACCCTACCGGCGTCAGTGTTTGTATGCTAGTACAAGCACGCACCTGGTGCCACCAACGCAAGGACAAATCGGAGCAGTGGTGTCTGGTGAGGACGAGGGGATGGATGACCTGCTAGTGCCGTGCGTCTCGATCGGCTGCCAAAGCGGTGGGTGGCCAGGCAGGCAGAGAGTCGGCCGGCCGGGGCGCGTGAATCGTGCCACCCGGCCCGAGGCCCAAACCTGGTGGAGGCCGCCTAAAAAAGGTGGAGTGGAGTGGAGGCACACTTGGGACCAAACCAACTCAAGTCATCGAGTCCACAGCTGGCGCGCGCAGCCAATCCCTCTCCCTCCGGCGGCCTCCAGAGCCCAAAACCACCTCGGTCTCTCTCGCCCCCTGTTTGCCAGCCCATCCCATGGCGACCCACGCCGGCGGCGAGAACGGCAGCGGCGGGCACGCGGAGTGGCGGTTCGCGCGGGCGGGCAAGGAGGCCGTGGCCGGGGACAAGATGAGCATCCGGGCGGCGCGGTTCAAGATCAGCGAGAGCGTGGACGCGCGCGACCCGCGGCCCGTGCTGCCGCTGGCGCACGGGGACCCCTCGGTGTTCCCGGCCTTCCGCACCGCCGCCGAGGCCGAGGACGCCGTGGCCGCCGCGCTCCGGACGGGCAAGTTCAACTGCTACCCCGCCGGCGTCGGCCTCCCCGACGCCCGCCGGTACGTACGGTTACGGTTACTCAATTTCAATTCCTCTTGTCTTGTCATGGGCAAATTCATTTTCTAAGCTCAAGTTCAGAACAATCTCTGTCTTTACCTTGCCGGCCTCATTTTCTAAGCTCAAGTCCCGATAGCCACTCAAGTGCATACTTTCAGAATTTTTTAGAGTTAGTATCCGGTTCAGAGTCGTAGTTAGTAGGATATGTAAGCTCTGACTCAAATTGCACAGCATCAATCACGAGCACTCAATAGCAAGGAGAATGGGAAAAACAAAAGATTTCTGCTCGATCGGGTACCTACCGTATGACACGTGCCGGCGCCGGTGTTCCACGAAGCCGCCTCGCCCCGGCGCGTGATCTGCCTGCCTAGGCGGAGTAGGCATGGTCAAGCAATTTACCCAGTCACGCGCCATGCATGCGTCCGACGTGGCACGCCACCTGCTTTGTGGCTCTCTCTGGGTGGGCTGCTGCAGCCACGCGTTTTGTTTTTGGCAAAACCACCTCTGAACTGAACCAAGGAAAAAGAGGCTTTCTGAAGTGGTTCTCATGATAGAGACGTGTCTTCCTGCCTTCATTCTTCTCACTACTAGTAGTACATATAATAGTATGTTGACGTGTCATGATGGGGGTAATGAGTACTTCCTAAGAAGAAAACGCTACCGGAAACAATGAAGGAAACTACCTACCTTGCTGGAATGAACTTGCTTGTTTTGATGAAGCACTTACAGGAGTCATGGCAGGCGAAACACTGCCAAATATACATAAACATTCCGGTCGCTATATATGGGATAATTAACAGTATAGTATTCTCTAAAAACATTGCAGTATATTATCTTTCTTAATGAGCTTCTATGAATAATTTCACTTTTTCATATATTCTTGCATGCTTATTATATGAATACTGATTTCTTTTTTGCTGCTTTAAATAATATAATAGTGCTCTGGCGGAGCACCTGTCAAGTGATCTTCCATACAAGCTGTCAACTGATGACATCTTCCTCACTGCTGGAGGCACTCAAGCCATTGAGGTTGTCGTCTCAGTCCTTGCCCAACCGGGCACCAACATATTGCTCCCAAGACCAGGCTATCCAAACTATGAGGCGCGTGCAGGACTGCACAACTTAGAAGTTCGTCGTTTCGATCTGATTCCTGAAAGAGGGTGGGAAATTGATATTGACTCTCTGGAGTCGATTGCTGACAAGAACACCACCGCAATGGTCATCATAAACCCCAACAATCCTTGCGGGAGTGTCTATACCCATGAACATTTAGCCAAGGCATGGCTGCTGCTTATTTCACTGATCATTCAAATGAAATTGAATTAGTTTTTTAACTAATCTTTGTGGAGACCAATGCAAATTGTGTTCTAAGCATGTCTTGATGTCATTTAGGTCGCGGAGGTAGCAAGGAAGCTTGGAATACTAGTCATCGCTGATGAAGTATATGGAAATCTCGTGTTTGGGGACACCCCTTTCGTCCCCATGGGTGT